GCCCTGGTAGACAAAAACTCTTTTTACACGCTGGGTTTTCGTGGTCGATCCCATGCAAAGGTGGAAACATTAGACTATTTCCCTTTCCCGCTGTTCCGTTCACCTAGCAAGGGGTTTGGGCAAAAAAATGGAAAACCTAGCTCTTCTTTTCATAATGGTTATGGTGTAAACATCATGACATTTCCCTTTTGCGAATATGTTTTTTTTTTTTTACAGATTTACCATGAGTATTTAAAAAAACCCCAAAAAGACAGTCTTTAGACGTTAAATAGGTTGAATTCTTGGTGTCATTTGGGGGGTTTAGCGTAACGATAAAAACGGACTTTTTTGGGGTATCAAGAGGTCTGTTCGAAGATGATGACAGCCTTGCGAAAGACGGGAAAACCCCTTCAAAGAAAAACTTGGGGGGAAGCGAAAAAGGGGTCAGATAGGGATGACAAACTCTTTACGGATTCTTCGGAAGGATCATAGGATACGCACCCAAAATTGCAGCAAGCTTAATAAACACCTCCAAAACCCCCGTTTCCACAAAAACTGTGAGAAGGGAAGCCTAAAGCGGGAATTTTGGGGGGGCTGCAATTGGAAACACATACTTAAAAAAAAAAAAACCAAATGTTAAAAGGTGTAGGGGTGAAAAAAATCACAAGTTCTTAGACCCGGAAAAATGTTATTGTCTCCGACGAGTCATCTTTCTCCTTATTTCCAACGTCGGGGCAAGTATACGTTAGACAGCCAAGAGAAGCATATGACCCCGATGTTTTCTTCCAACTGTGATGATCTGGGCTGCTAATCTTAAAAATCTGCAGGCGCAATGGTTGCCCTTCATGGCAAAATTAAAGGTCAGGATTATTTAAACATTTTAGCAGATCAATTTCATCCTACGGTTGCAACACTGTTTCCAGAAGGGAATGCAATATTCCAGGACGATAATGCACCGATTCACGCAGCTAAAATCGTCTCTGAGTGGCACGAGGAACATTCCAGTGAGGTTGAGCATCTTATATGGCCGTTCCAATCCCTAGATCTTAATATCATTGACAATTTATGGTGCATTTTGGAAAAACAAATGAGGGGTCGATACCCTTCACTATCATCACTTAAGGAACTGGAGACTGTTTTAGCTGACGAATGGACAAACATACCCCTGGAATCTGTTCAAACATTGTATGAATCAATTTCTCGTTGAATTCAAGCGGTAATTACTGCCAAAGGTGGTCCTACACCATATTAAAATAAATATGTTTGACATTTCAAGGTGTTTCCATTATTTTATCCAACCCCTTTCCTGGGTGTTAGTCGACTGTTAGTTAATTACCATTCTGTCCTTGGCACGTGTCGGTTAGACATTTAGGCCTGTTGTACTCACCTAGTTGTACTCACCTAGTTGAGGTTGGAGGGGTCGAGTCCTAGCTCCTGGCCCCGCCTCTTCACTGGTCGCTACTAGGGGGTCTCATCGTGAGGGACAAGATTTAACGACCCCAATGGGAGTAAGACAGACAGTCCTCGATGACGCGCTGACTTTCTTGGGTTATCCTGGGTGGATAATCCTCCGGGGTTAAAAATCTTATCTTATCTTACCGTACTTTACTCAGTTTTGCTACTTACTTAAGTTATTGCTTTCTATTACAGTTTTCTATTAGACCCTTTTAAAAGAAAACTTAACTCCTATAACCCTTTAGGTAAACTATTATAAAATATAAACATTCACATAATAATAATAATAATAATAATAATAATAATAATAATAATAATAATAATAATAATAATAATAATAATAATAATAATAATAATAATAATAATAATCTTTATTTCTACAAGTACATGTGCAAGGTGTAGAGGCCTAGCTGACGTAATTGACATATTTTGTTATGATTTTGCGTATTTTTATACGTATATACTTCTAAACTGTTGTGTTCTGGGCACCTCTGCCAAAACATTGATTATGTGTGAGTGAGGTGAAAAAGTTGAATGATGAAAGTATTTCCTTTTTGGGGATTTTCTTTCTTTTTGGGGCACCAATCCTCGGCGGGAGACGGCCGACTTGTTAATATATATATATATATATATATATATATATATATATATATATATATATATATATATATATATATATATATATATATATATAATCAGAAGTATCACCTCTGGACTGGGGACCCTCATCCTCGGAGAAGAGAATAAACTTTCTTCAGGGAAAACTCGAGATTCTCTACGAAGCTGTTTGAATATTTTCTTCTCCTACCACTCCCTATATTCTACATTCTATGTGGACTTTACTTGAAAGCAAAATACAGTAAAATAAATAGAATGAGAAGTACAACAACCGGGCCACCAGGCCCGGTGGCCTGGTGGCTAAAGCTCCCGCTTCACACACGGAGGGCCCGGGTTCGATTCCCGGCGGGTGGAAACATTTCGACACGTTTCCTTACACCTGTTGTCCTGTTCACCTAGCAGCAAATAGGTACCTGGGTGTTAGTCGACTGGTGTGGGTCGCATCCTGGGGGACAAGATTAAGGACCCCAATGGAAATAAGTTAGACAGTCCTCGATGACGCACTGACTTTCTTGGGTTATCCTGGGTGGCTAACCCTCCGGGGTTAAAAATCCGAACGAAATCTTATCTTATCTTATCTTACATCTCAAATACTTTATCCAGCTCCCCGGCGGTTTGCCGCGTTCCCAGAATGCTGCAGGCACTTTTCCGCTGGATCGCAACTCTGAGTCTCTGAAAAAGAAAGCTGGCCGCTCTGTGATCCTTGATTTCTGTAGTGAGTTTTTCACCCAGCTCTCTGAGGAACTTTAGAGCACATTTGCCCCGTGCTCAAAGGATCTCCGACCCTACTGAGATGAAGTCGTAGCAGGAGGGCAGGTCTACATATTTGTGGATCTTCTGGGTCTCCCTGTAAATGGCGGCTCCACCCCCTTCAGCTTCAGTGTATGGGAAGTAGGTGTCAGCGGCACAGGTGTAGTCCCAGGCAATCTGCTTACCATCCTTCCAAGGTAACATAGTGACTCCATCTGGACGCTTTTGACTTCCGTCAGGCCTCGGTATTTGGGGTTCCCGTTCAGCTGGGGAAAGGGCTGTGACGAGACTTCTCTTTATGATGTCGCTGACCTCCTCATGTCTAGCGTAATTTCCTTCTGATATATGACACACGAGTCCATAAAGTCCGAATTGATCAGCCGACGCCTTGCCGCAAATACTCCCATGTTCGGTGACTATGGGGGCGGCTAGATGGAGAGCAACAACAATCTGAATGGCCTGTACTCACCTAGTTGAGGTTGCGGGGGTCGAGTCCGAGCTCCTGGGTCGAGGCGAGTGCCCAGGAAGGAACTGGGAACTCCAGTTAAAAGAGATATGCGTACTTTGAATATTTCACATAGGGCTGGCATGGCAACGCAGGATCGAGTCCTGGCCATGCCGCAGTTCTGTTAATGATATACAATATTTTATGGTTAGATAGACAGGTAAATGAATAGTTAAATTCCAGTTAAATGTACAGAATTTTACGTTTTATTTTAACTTTATACAGTTAATGTATTAACACAAAATATGTATGGGAATGAATGATGACAGATAACGTAATGTAATTTAGGATAACTCAACAAACGATAAATAGGATGATTTATTTCCGTTACACTTTTTTGCATATAAAAGTTCATGAATAAAGTGGAATGCGTCAGGTGTATGTAAATTATTATCAACATTACGAGAAGGTGTCCCCGTATTGCATAACCCCAGCCACCTCTACTTCAGTGCACAGAGCTTAAGTTTGTAATAAAGTTGGGTATCAGGGATTTTAGGTATAAGGGAAGAGGCGTCCACCAGTTTATTACATAAAAACTAATTTAACCAACTTATTTAATACAAATTTGGCAAACTGACGCAGCTCAACACAAGAAATATCAGCTTTTAAAATTTAAAACCAAACTGAAGAGGCTTTCTGTAGTTATTTTACATAGATCAATAACCCAATAATACGCTAACACTAAGTTTGAAGCCGCCCAGAATTTGCGTTATCAAGTTATCGACTCGAAGCTTGAAGCCAACTGGACGAGAAACTCACAAGTTATCTTATGATAACCAGTATTTCGATATTCCCAATTTCTTCGCTTACAACGGAAGTTTTGTGACTTTGGCTAAAATCAATCCCAACTTTCCTTAAAGCAAGATTGACTAGCTGTTAAGACTTAGTAAGTTTTATTTAGGCTTTGGGCACATAAACAAAGTTATTACAATGGGAGGCACGCAGCTGCCACGTTTACGTAGAAATCTCATTATGTAGATTTAACCAAGGCTAACCCAGTAAAGTTAAACACCGATCGGCAGAAAGATTCTCCAGTTATTTTATGGGACACAGTTTAATAAAATGAAGTCAAAACTTCATTTGGGAAAACATTGGAAGCTTAAAGCTGAGCAGAAGCTGTCTTGTTCAGCTGTTACACAAAACCCAACAATATCAAGTTTATTAACTTGGTTAGATATTTAATAAAGTTATTCCTATAAAGTCTAAAACAAAAAAAAATAATTTCACGGCATAAATCAGCCATTAAACATTGAAGCCATTCAACAATTCTTTTAATATAATAATAATAATAAATAATAATAATAATAATAATAATAATAATAATAATAATAATAATAATAATAATAATAATAATAATAATAACAAATAAAGCAGCAGCAGGAGAAAGTGGTAGTAGAAGTAATAGTAGTAGTAGCTAGTAGTAATTAGTAGTAGTAGCAGTTGTTGTTGTTGTTGTTGTTGTTCTACAAGCATAAGTATTAGTCTCAAATATGTAAAAATCTTAAGAGATTAAATAATGTGCAGAGCAAAGATGTATTTACATGCGAAATTTCCCTCCCCTCTATGTAGAGCTTTATCAAGCGCATGTAAAGCTCTTGGAGCGAGATTTCTTCTGGCAATTTGAATTTGCCTTAAAGATAGAGTCTTCCACCATATTTGTCGGCACGTTTTGCCATACAGTGTTTGCCATTCCTTATAGAGCTAACTTTATACATATTAAACAAAGTAAGGCAACTTGAAGTACAACTGTACACTTGACACATTGATTACGTTATTAAGTCTCTGTCGATTGCAGCTGCATTGTCATCCCTACACCGATCGGCAATCCTCTTTGAATTCGTATTGTTCAATATTCCTCTATGGATTCGTGCTGTTCAGTATTCCTCTTTGTCTTCAGAGTGCTCGGCTATGCACCTTATATAAGTATTTCTCTGTATTGTTCATTGTCTTCCTGACACTGTTTGTTGATGGTCATTGTCCTCGCACACGCTGGCTCTGTCTAATCCTCCTCACACATGCAGGAATCTCCTCAATAATAGTCTTCATCGTCCTCAGACTCGCCCGGCTCCTCAGCGATCTCCTCATAGTCCTTCTCCAGGGCTGCAAGGTCCTCCCGGGCCTCTGCGAACTCCCCTTCCTCCATGCCCTCTCCCACATACCTGAGGGGAGACAGAAGTTTTTTAGTTTAATATGTTTATTATGCACCCCAAACCCATCATGTGGGGGTAGTCAAAAGATTACAGAGGTACATAATTGGTCCAGGGACTGGACTCCAAAGTTTTGATAGCTGAGCAAGTTACAGAGGTAATGAACTCACAATTTACAAAGGTAATGAACTCCAGGTAGGTCTAGTCACAATCATGACAAGTTACAAAGGTATTTACAGATTACAGAGGTACGTAATGGGTCCAGGGACTGGGCCCCCAGGAGACAGAAGGGGGATGATTTTTATTGTTATTACTATTATTAAAGAAAACTGGATACCATGTTCTGTATAACAGGAAAGCAATGGGAACATTCACAGTATGTTCTTACTCTCCTCTATACAATAGTTACATGAAGAAGAAGGAAGAATGAGCAAGAGCTATATGTCTTCCAGTATATTTGTGCTGAAGGACACTTAGCAAAGAAAAATATCAAATATTATCTAATCCCATATTAATAAAATTCAAATTATCTATTTTCTAAATATTATTCACAATTATAATATTCTGAAAAGTCGTTTTATACACAGCATTTAGGGAAAATTCTGACATACAAACATTAGAGCACTATGATGGTAAGTTATGCTATGGAATAGGAGGATAGTGTATTACCAGTGGACAAAGGCTCTCTTGGCAAAGAGGAGATCGAACTTGTAGTCGAGGCGTCCCCAAGCCTCGACGATGGCGGTGGTGTTGGAGAGCATACAGAGCGACCTGGGCACCTTAGCTAGGTCCCCGCCAGGCACCACTGTGGGAGGCATGTAGTTGATGCCCACCTGCAGAAGAGAAGAGTCTATTCGCTCTTTCAGAAGGCTCATACACATTTAAATTACAAGTGATTGTTTGTTTTTTCTTCGCAGTGGACAAACATCAGAAGATATTTCCCTTTGAATAAAACTTACCACTTCTCTCTCTCTTCTTTTCTTCCCTCTACTGTCTTAACATCCCTGCCCCCATCTGCCCCTCCTCTGACTTATCTTGTCCTGTCCTCTCCTTCCCTCCCTCCCTGTCCTGCCATTTCCTGCATTTCCTTCCCCTCAGACTTTTGTCCCACTGTCGAAAATTGTCCCCTTGCATTTATATAATTTTTTTTTCCCTGTCTTCATTTTTTTGCATAATTCGTGTGGTTCCTCTAATCATTATTTTTATATTATTATTATTACTATTATTACTATTATTATTATTATTATTATTATTATTATTATTATTATTATTATTATTATTATTATTATTATTATTATTATTATTATTGTTATTATGTATTCTCGAGTGGGTACCTTTAGGAGGTTCCCAATTTATTTCTTTTCAATTTTCGTTTGTAAATTAAGAACGGCTCTTCCGATCGGCTTCAAACTTTCAACGCTTGTTTGCTATACAAGGGCAATGGTTCATACAAAAAACTGACGTGCGCAGGTGCTCTCTGATCAATATGTCGTAGATCATTCTAAGATTCTCAGAAGGGGTCCGATAACTGCTTCAAACCTCCTCTCTAACTGGCTGTAAACACTAAACACAGGACCAGCCATCTTAGACGTAGGTTGAAAATGTTACTGAAGTGCGTAGGTGCTTATCTGGTAATTTCATGTCTAAAATAGTGTGGATTCCCCCCTTCCGTTAGATCAGGAACACGTGCAATATGTGTGTGGTCACCCCCCCCCCCCTCCTCCCGTTAAATCAGGAATACGTGTAATTGTGTGTGAATTTAACGCTATCGTCATATTCAAGCAGGTGTTCCTTTTTATAGAACTTCAGGGTGATCCCCAGGAGGCCTGGTCACATGCCCGGGCCGCGGGGGCGTTGACCCCCGAAACTCTCTCCAGGTAAGAATTTTACGAATGAATTCGTTCCTCTCTCATAACTTCCCACCCTACAAAAAGTTTCTTCTTGCCTTCATCCTTCTAACCTCAACTCCAGATACAGCATGCTACCTACGGATTTAGCGGTTTCCATTGAAATATAATAACATTGCAATGACTTTCATCACTGATGCTGTAACCTGCAACTGTGTACTAACGTTCACTTCCGGACGAGCTCTCTCAACTCTGCTTTGCTCCTCTTTCTGTTTTGATTACGATGCTCTTACGTTGAAATTATTTCAAGAATATCTTTCTATGGTGTTAAAATGACGATTTTTTGTTTATTTATTTGCTGATTCAAATGTTTTTTCACTCTAAAACAGCTGCAGTACTTTGCAGTACAAAACTGTGTAGAAAGTTATTCACGTAGTGTTGTTCTTTTGTACACTTCAGGAAACTCCTGAAGTGTAATAACTATTACCTGAAGGTAATAAGTAAGCTATTTTTTAAATACTTATAAATGGGCACCTTTGTAAACAAATGCTATCTCTGTTTCTTTATCGATGTTGTGTTTGAAACAGTCTAAACAAGACTGCTAAAGATACATATTACGGTAGAGAACACCAACCTTGAATCCTGTTGGACACCAGTCAACAAACTCCACTGACTTCATGTTCTTGATGGTCTGGATGGCGGAGTTGACGTCCTTAGGCACGACGTCTCCGCGGTAGAGGAGAGTTACAGCCATGTACTTCCCGTTGCGCGGGTCACACTTGACCATTTGCATCCCTGGAGAGAAGCAGTCGCTTGTCAGCTCCGCAGTCGAAATCTGAAACAGGAAATCTCTTGCATGGGTCATTTTATTTGTGCGACGCGATTAACCTACGTGGGACATATATCGCAAGAATTAGTGAAGGTTCGAATCACCGTCTTCTAATCGCGAAACATGCGCTTTTCTTAACTGGACTTGCATTTTTCCATCATTTGAGAAATGAGTTTTTGTTTGTGTCAGAGCAGCATTTTCGGATATAGTTTTAAAGCGATTTGTACACAAGTTCTGGCAACAAGTGTATATGGGTGAACACATACACTTGTTGCCTGCGACACCTTGATACAGCGCAGGGAGACTGCACTGTGCTCTAGCTAGCTGCATTCACAGCCTTGTCAACGTGATTTACTTGGTAATTTGAACGGGAAGGTTTTTCTCTGTACCATACAAGGATTAACCCATAATGTAGTTGTTATCAAGATACTAGCAATCTTATAGTTGCACTTTTTTTAATTTGTCTTATGGACAAAGCGCAGTGGTGAGAGTGCCATGTGCACACTTGCTTAGTGACAGGTACACACTGGTATAGTGACGTGGTGCCAACATGTATAGTACATGGCCACACTGGTATATGACTGGTGCCACCTTGTATAGTGAATGGGGCACCTTGGTAAGTCCACCATGTGCCACACTTGGTATAGTGACATGTGCCACACTTGTATAGTGACATGGTGTTACAATTTGGATAGTGACATGTGCCATACTGTAAGTGAATGGTACCACCTTGTATAGTGACATGGCACCACACTGATAGTGACATGTACCACTTATTAGTTGACATGCACACACTTGGTATAGTGACATGGCCATACTGGTATAGTACATGGTGCCACACTTGTATGTAATGGTGCACACTTTGTTATAGTAACATGGTGCCACACTGGTATAGTGACATGGTGCCACACTTGGTATAGTGACATGGTGACACACTTGGTATAGTGACATGGTGCCATACTTGGTATAGTGACATGGTGCCACACTTGGTATAGTGACATGGCACCACACTTGGTATAGTGACATGGTACCACACTTGGTATAGTGACATGGCACCACACTTGGTATAGTGACATGGTGCCATACTTGGTATAGTGACATGGTACCACACTTGGTATAGTGACATGGTGGTAACATACTTGATATAGTGACATGGTGGTAACATACTTGATATAGTGACATAGTGACACACTTGGTATAGTGACATAGTGACACACTTTGTATAGTGACATGGTGCCACTCTTGGTATAGTGACATGGTGACACACTTGGTATAGTGACATGGTGCCACACTTGGTATAGTGGCATGGTGTACCACCTTGTATATGAATGGTGCCACATGGTATGTGACATGTCCACACTTGGTATAGTGACATGATACCACACTTGGTATAGTGACATGGTGACACACTTGGTTAGTACATGGTGCACACTTGGTATAGTGCTGGTGACACACTTGGTATAGTGACATGGTGCCACACTTGGTATAGTGACATGATACCACACTTGGTATAGTGACATGATACCACACTTGGTATAGTGACATGGTGACACACTTGGTATAGTGACATGGTGCCACACTTGGTATAGTGACATGGTGACACACTTGGTATAGTGACATGGTGCCACACTTGGTATAGTGACATGATACCACACTTGGTATAGTGACATGGTGCCACACTTGGTATAGTGACATGGTGACATACTTTGTATAGTGACGGTGCAGTGTTATAGAGTTGGATCTAAATTTATTTATACTCCAGAGATAACAAAAAAGGCACAATACCGTGACTGGAACGATACACAAATAACCCGCACATAAAAGAGAGAAGCTTACGACGACGTTTCGGTCCGACTTGGACCATTGACAAAGTCACACTAACAGAGGTGGAGCAGGACGGCTATATATAGGCAGGAAGAGGTGGTGGTGGTAGTAGTAGTAGTAGTAGTAGTAGTACAAGAGTTGTATATAATACCAACAAGATGAAATTAAGACACATGCACAACACCCGGGCATCCCCATCATAGACGTTTCGCCATCCAGCCAGCCACTGGATGGCGAAACGTCCACAACAAAGACAACCAGACGCCGCACATATGTCTTAATTTCATCAGTAGTTGTAGTAGTAGTAGAAGAAGATGTAGTAGTAGTGGTAGTGGTAGAAGTGGGAAAATGACGAGCCAGTCAAATACAAAGGAAGGGGAGCACTGCAAGAGAGCTAGATGCCCACAGAGGGAGGGCAAGCGCACAGAGGTGCGTGAAAGGGAAGTGGTGAAATAAATGAAGAAGGAACAGAAACACGAGACATGAGAGAGAAAGACAACCCAGAGGAGCAAAGGAAAGAGGAAAGGGGAAGAGGAAGAAGAAGAAACAGAAAAAGAAAAAAAGAAAAAATGAGGATTCAGGTTAAGTCACGGGTGTTCTGAAGTTTGGAGCATTTTACAATGTAGTGGGAGAGGAAGGCATCTACAGAGACGAAGCCAGGGCTAAGGTTCATACAAGGAAAGTTGTGTATTAGAGAGGATTCAACTAGACGGCGACTGTTCGAGTTGGAAGTAGGGAAGACAGTTTTAGCAGAAGACCAGTCAATAGGATGGCTATGATCTCTGACGTGACAGAAAAGAGCATTGTTAGTGTCGGCAAGCCTAACACTATTTTTGTGCTCCCTAAGTCTGTCAGAAAGAGATCGACCAGTTTCTCCGAAGTATTGAAGAGGACAGGAGGAGCAAGAAATAGAGTAGACACCAGGAACATCTGTAGAGGGAGGAGAGGTATGAACGAGATTAGTGCGAAGAGTGTTAGTCTGGCGGAAGGTAAGCTTGATGTCTAAGGACGGAGAGAATTGTTGAGATTAGAAAGACCGGAAATGTAGGGAAGGCAGAGGATAGAAGAGTTCTCATGAGTAGAGAGTTTGGGAGAGAAGAAATTGCGTTTAGCACGTGAGAGGGCAGAGTCTATGAAATGGGAAGGGTAGCCAAGACGGGAGAACGAATTATGAAGAGTGGAAATTTCTGCTGGAAGGAACTGAGGATCACAGATGCGGAGGGCACGGAGAAAGAGGGAGATAAGAACACTTTTCTTGACAGGGGAAGCATGATAGGAAAAGTAGTGAATGTACATGCCACTGTGCATAGGTTTACGGTAAACGGAAAAGGAAAAACCTGTATCTGAGCGGTGGACCTCTTCTTCTTCTACTACTACTACTACTAACTACTGATGAAATTAAGACATATGTGCGGCGTCTGGTTGTCTTTGTTGTGGACGTTTCGCCATCCAGTGGCTGGCTGGATGGCGAAACGTCTATGATGGGGATGCCCGGGTGTTGTGCATGTGTCTTAATTTCATCTTGTCGGTATTATATACAACTCTTGTACTACTACTACTACTACTACTACTACTACAACTACTACTACTACTACCACCACCTCTTCCTGCCTATATGTAGCCGTCCTGCTCCACCTCTGTTAGTGTGACTTTGTCAATGGTCCAAGTCGGACCGAAACGTCGTCGTAAGCTTCTCTCTTTTATGTGCGGGTTATTTGTGTATACTCCAGAGGTTTAGATGACCCGTGACATACAGATGTACAGTCAATATTTCCATTCAGATAATCAGGCTTAAAGCATCATAAGACCATCAATACTGTACGTGTCAGTGTACGTGTCAGTGTACGTGTCAGTGTACGTGTCAGCGTACGTGTCAGCGTACGTGTCAGTGTACGTGTCAGTGTACGTGTCAGTGTACGAGTCAAGAACGATTATTTGTTTATGAAACACTACAGATATCGTTCCATCACACATCTGGTAAGTTCATACATAAGATTCTCTGGGTGATCCAGTTTGCTCACCATTATAAAAAAAAAAAAGACAAAAATCATGCGCACAAACAGTCCTTCTAGTAGCAGGTGTCGTCATGCAGCATGATGACGAAGGTCTTGGAAGTATCTGAAGACCTCATGGAAAGGTCATCGATCTCCACAAATCAAGCATAGTGAGTTGGTTGCTTGCCTACTACGAAGAGTATTTACGAAGGAATTGCCAGAACGTCCAGTTTAAATTGTGGTTTAAGGGGCTTTGTTAAACCCAGATGTGGCGATTAGGAATCTGTAGGAACTCAAACGTTTTATTGCTGTATCATTATAAAGAAAAACCAGTTATATATCCTCTTTTTAGCCGTCGAAGCCTCCGCATAAACCTTTCCAGACGATGAACATAGAAAAAAAACTGCTTATAATTGCCAGAAAACTTTTGAAATTACCTAAGATCAATTAGGTCAATATTTTGTGGTAGGAAAAAAAAAACAAAAATTTAATAGTCTGGAAATGCAGAGCAGCGATATATCTAACACAAGTAAGCGTGAGGTGCATGTTGATAATATTATCTGGATCTATACTACTCTGAGAGTGTCATTCATCCTCCGCTTCTGGTGCCCCTCTTAGAATTTAGCCACATTATAGTTTTACTCCTTGTCAAGAAACTCAATCTTGGTCACAAATGAACTTTCCAGCTTGATACTGACGCTAGGCAAGCGTTTAAAATTACGATCAAATAATTTAGACAGTGGAAAATCGTCTCTCAAGAAATAAATCGAATATAAAACGTGTGAGATGAAGCAGAATAAAGCAATCCATATGTTATGCACAGATGAGTAGGGGAAATATTCTTCCTAAAAGTTTTTGAGCCTTCTGAGAGTTAAAAATTAAAAGAATTCTCCATCGAGTCAAGAGATAGTAAGACTTAACATGGTACTTAGTGAACTTTCCATCGAGTCGATAAATAGTAAGCTTAAGCTTACTATTTCTCGACTCGATGAAGAATTCACTGAGTACCATGTTAAGCTTAGTATCTCTTGACTCGATGGAAAGTTCACTAAGTACCATGTTAAGCTTACTATTTCTCGACTCGATGAAGAATTCACTAAGTACCATGTTAAGCTTAGTATCTCTCTTGACTCGATGGAGAATTCACTAAGTACCATGTTAACGTGGTATTAGATGAATTATCACCATAACTTAGTTCGACGAGAGAATACTAAGCATTTAACAGTGGTACTTAGTGATCCCAGACAGGATATTAATACATATTATATCAGGATTTTAACAAAGTTTTTTTTTTAATATATTTTCTATATACATAAAATACTGGAAGTCATGCAAATTTATTTTATTTAGGTGAATGTAAATAAGGAATTTTTGGTTAATATTCCTAATAAATCCGTTTGTAGTAACGACATCACGTGGAGGATCAAGACAATCATTTATGGCCTTTAACAAATACTGGTTTTATTGCCGATGGTGGAAGACTACGACCGATACAGTGCCACGCCTTTGGTGCCATACATGATCTGCTGTGCCTGGTGCAGTGTCACACACTGTGTACTGCAATTCATACGTGCTACATCCCATATGTTATAACAAGTGCAGTGCCACACTTGACTTATTATACTTAATGGAGTGCCACACCTGAAGTGTGATACCTAGTGCAGTGCCACAACTGACGTGTGATACCTAGTGCAGTGCCACACTTGACTTATTATACTTAATGGAGTGCCACACCTGACGTGTGATACCTAGTGCAGTGCCACAACTGACGTGTGATACCTAGCGCAGTGCCACACTTGACTTATTATACTTAATGGAGTGTCCACACCTGAGTGCGATACCTAGTGCAGTGCCACAACTGACGTGTGATACCATAGTGCAGTGCCACACTTGACTTATTATACTTAATGGAGTGTCACACCTGACGTGTGATACCTAGTGCAGTGCCACAACTGACGTGTGATACCAAGTGCAGTGCCACATTTGACTTATTATACTTAATGGAATGCCACACCTGATGTGTGATGCCTAGTGCAGTGCCACACCTGACGTGTGATACCTTGTGCAGTGCCACACTTATTATACCTGGTGCAGTGCCACGCTGTGACACTTGTTATAGCTATATACCTGCATATGGTTGACTTTATCAGCACCGTGGACGGGGGAATAATTGGCCAAAGGAAAGTGAATCCTTGGGTAAGGAACCAGGTTGGTCTGGAACTCCGCCAGATCCACATTCAACGCCCCGTCGAACCTACGGTGAGCAAGGAGGACCAGGAGGACCAGGAGGACCAGAAGGACCAGAAGGAGGAGGAGGAGGAGGAAGAAGAGCATTAGGAGGAGGAATTAGAACATGGGGAGTCGACGAAGAGGATGAAATGTAAGGAGGAAGGGTAAGTATATGGAATAAAACAAATATTCCTTTTAGTGATATATATATATATATATATATATATATATATATATATATATATATATATATATATATATATATATATATATATATATATATATTATATATATATATATTATATATATATATATATAATATATTATATATATATTATATTTTATATATATACTGATATGTATATTATATCAGATGTCGGCGAATAGGCGAATTTGCGACCTTGGCTTAAATAGCAACGTTCATCTGCCATACTGGACAAGTGAAAATTGTGTATGCAAATTTCCGCCAAATCATTCTGAACCTACCCGAAAAAAATATTTCACTGTGTTTGTTTAGTAAAATTACGAGAACAAACATCTAAAAATATTAGTTGGGTTAGGTAGAATAAATTGCTCTATTATAATAAGGTTAGGTAAGTTTTTAGAATCATTTGTGGAAAATTAAAAAGTTTACATTAACATGAATAAAAAAATATATCTTAAAGTATAAGGAAAATTTAAAAGGACTATTTTAAATGATTATATGCTATGACCAGTTTTACATATTCGCACGATATATATATATATATATATATATATATATATATATATATATATATATATATATATATAATATATATATATATATATATATATATATATATATATATATATATATATATATATATATATATATATATATATATGTCGTGCCGAATAGGCAAAACTTGCGAATAGGTAACATGCTCTTCTTGTCTAATAAGGTAAGCGAAAATTTGTGTATGCAATAATTTCGCAAAAAGTCATTCTGAACCTAACGAAAAAAATGTATTTCATTGTGTTTGTTTATTATTAAATTATTGTAAACTTATCTAAAATATATTTAGTTGGATTAGGCTAAATTAAATTGCGCTTGTTATAATAAGGTCAGGTAATTTTTCAAAGGTTCTTTTGGTACAAAAATATTAATTTTTACATTAACATAAATGTAAAAAATATATCTTTACACATATAAGACAAAATCTTAGAAAGGACTTAATTTTAAATGAGTTCTTGTTAATTGACCAATTTTACCTATATATAAAATTATTGCAGTTTTCAACTCAATCCGCAGAAATATATTTTATATATGGAAATATGACAGATACAAAAAGCCTTTACCATGCATAGTTGTTCACGAGTCTATATTAAGCTACTGCAATACAGTCAGTAAAAAAATTACCTTGTGTAAGACTACAAAAATAATTGGGGTTAGTATACCCTTGAGAATATCACAGGTAGGAATGAAATATAATAAAAAAATGAGTTGCCATTGATCGTAAAGAGTTGGGACACGATCTCCAGTCACGCAGTGGCTCCGAAGCTAAGACGAGTCAATAATGAATAGATAGCTCAAAGTCCTTGAGTGTCGCTCATTATCTGTGATATATCATTCATTTATGAAGGGAATAGTTATTCACTGAGAGCCGAGGTAATTCGTGAAAAGGGATATTTTTGTATTGATAAGCATGAATGCCATGAATGAGAGATAATGAGCCTGCAAAGCGAGATTTGTTTTTTCTCAAAATTATTCATTATGGATATTTATTAAGCAAATTATGAGCTGCATTATAGGGACTGGCAATGCAGAGGGCCATGCACTGGAAGAGAAGCACGTAACTTTGTACCTGAGGGAGGCGGTGATGGAGGAGACGATCTGGCTGATGAGTCTGTTAAGGTTGTGGTAGGTGGGTCTGGAGACACTTAAGTTCTTGTGACAGAGTTCGTATATAGCCTCGTTGTCCACCATAAAAGCCACGTCGCAGTGCTCCATCGACGTGTGAGTCGTCAGGACGGAGTTGTAAGGCTCCACCATCGAAGTGGACACCTAAGTACACCTCAACATATGTTAGACGTCCATCACTGTTAAATTTCATTGTTACTTTAGATTTGTTTATTCCGCTCGTGAAATCAAGCATTAATATTACTAGCATAAACGTCTCAACATCTCACAATTCCCTGATAGCATTCCCTTGTGAGAGACTCCATTATCCAATATCCAAAACGATGCTGATAAATTCACTAAAAATTGTATTTCGAGATAACAAAGAAGCAGACATGGGAAGAGAATGGTGAAGATGTTGATGCTGTCGGCCCTGTGCGTGTGTGTTGGTCAGGATTGATTATATTGACCTGCGGTACCAAGACGACGAGGTCATTGTGTTGATCAGGAGCCATCGATCCCAACACTTCGAATGTTACTTTGCTCACTGTTTATGCTTTGATTATTTAGGCGTCGAAGATTGTACATGCCATGTGGCTAGTAAAGCTTTAGAAACAGATAATTTAAATGCAGATTTCTAATGTACATCAGAATATTTATATTTTAGTTGTTATAATTTATGATTAAAGAAACATGACTTTCTTATTTGGTATTGTTGCCATGTGTTTAGGGCCCAACGTAGCTGTTAGGTTTTCTTACTGTTAGTTTAGTATTATTTTAGTAGTGGTGATGTGTTTGTACTGCAGTGTCATACTTGCCTGCGGTGCGGGGTAAATAGCGAATTCCAGCTTGGTCTTCTTGCCATAGTCGACGGAGAGATGTTCCATCAGGAGCGAGGTGAAGCCTGAACCGGTGCCACCTCCGAAGGAGTGAAACACGAGGAATCCCTAATGAAAGATACCAGAGAAGCGAGACGTGGGGAAAGAATTCAAAGTGGACACATTAACATAAGAATGTTTATATGAGAGGCTAAATAGTTCTGTCATAACTGTTACGAACACAGCGTACCTGGAGGCTCGAAGCCTGGTCTGTCATCCTGCGGATCTGGTCGAGAGTGACGTCGATCATCTCCTTACCGATGGTGTAATGTCCACGAGCGAAATTGTTAGCAGCATCCTCTTTACCAGTGACCAACTGGGCCGGGTGATACAGGCCGCGATACATCCCCGTCCGGACTTCGTCTGCCAAGGGGGGAAGATGATTTTTGTAGGAAACTAGAAATCTAAGTCTTTAGGAATGAGTTCACAGAGAATTAATCTGACTGAAATCGGGTGTAAATTAAACTTTCGAAGATGCTGCATCGTTTAATTATTATTTTTTTGCCGTCAAGGCAGCTAGTATATTGTACACAACATCCTTCTTGTGGACCGTTGTTTAGAAACTCAGGGATATATAAAAAAACTATGATTTAGGCTCTAAAGAATTTAGCAAGCCTCTTTGAGCTCTTGCTAAATTCAGTTTTACCTTTTCATCTTTAGAAACGTACCTATGACGGTGGGTTCCAAGTCGACAAAGACCGCACGAGGAACATGCAGTCCGCTCTCCATCTCGCTGAAGAAAGTATTGAATGTATCGGCTCCGTAGCCGAGAGTGTCGTCAGCGGGCATGAGACCGTCTGGGGTGATGCCGTGCTCTAGGCAATAGAGTTCCCAACACGCGTTGCCGATTTGCACTCCAGCCTGACCTACGTGGATGCTCATGCACTCACGCTGACGAAGGAAAAAAAGGAGTTGCTGAAGACAGTTTTCTAACATACATCTATGAGCTTTCATTTGTCAGAATATACTTTTGTAAGGCTCTGCGCCACTTCCATTATCTGAGACACCTGGACTCAATACATTATTTAGGTTTGTGCCCCTGGAAGCTAATTTACTAGGCAGTACAAGCCTGCAAATGAACATAGCATCATAAAATACTGGGCAGTGTCACTCAACCCTCCAGTTACCACACCGTTATAAGCAGTGCCACTCATCATATAAGAAAACATACCTCGACAGTGACAGTATTGGGCTACGTCACACATCCCGTGAGTGAACATACCAACATAATGACTGTAAACCTCACACCATATACATGACGCGCCATTAGCCATATCAACTCCAAATACAACAATATATAAAAATGACTACACGTGAAAACAAAATAGGTCATTGATAACTCAAAAAAAAAGTATTCTGAATATTTGTTTTTTATTGACTTCAAAGCATTAAGTCCAAACAAAATCTAGCTTTCTTGACACTGGACACAGCAAGCTAGCTGGAACGCCTTTTTTCTCCTCTCAGATGAACAGTGATAGCTGCTCACGTTCCATAAATAGCTTAGCTAGTTACAGAACGAGCCGTCATGAGTGGACGGAGGATAGAGCTTCCACTATCCCGTGGACACTAGAAACCACACGACCTTGCCACTTCTTGAAATCCAATTACGACCAATTTACCTGGTTTGACGCATCAAAGGTACTTGACGAAAATACGCAGTGCGATTGTGATTTTCGGAACGACGCTACGATAATGATAGTAATGTTAGGGAAAAACGCCATGATAACAATTGTGATGTTAGGAAACAAGCCAAAATAACAATCGTGATGTTAGGAAACAAGCCAAGATAATAATCGTGATGTTAGGAAACAAGCCAAGATAACAATCGTGATGTTAGGAACAAGCCAAAATAACAATCGTGATGTTAGGAAACAAGCCAAGATAACACTCGTGATGTTAGGAAACAAGCCAAAATAACAATCGTGATGTTAGGAACAAGCCAAAATAACAATCGTGATGTTAGGAACAAGCCAAAATAACAATCGTGATGTTAGGAAACAAGCCAAAATAACAATCGTGATGTTAGGAACAAGCCAAAATAACAATCGTGATGTTAGGAACAAGCCAAAATAACAATCGTGATGTTAGGAACAAGCCAGGATAACAATCGTGATGTTAGGAAACAAGCCAAAATAACAATCGTGATGTTAGGAAACAAGCCAAGATAACAATCGTGTTGTTAGGAAACAAACCAAAATAACAATCGTGATGTTAGGAAACAAGCCAAAATAACAATCGTGATGTTAGGAAACAAGCCAAAATAACAATCGTGATGTTAGGAACAAGCCAGGATAACAATCGTGTTGTTAGGAACAAGCCAAAATAACAATCGTGATGTTAGGAAACAAGCCAAAATAACAATCGTGATATTAGGAAACAAGCAAAAATAACAATCGTGATGTTAGGAACAAGCCAGGAAAACAATCGTGATGTTAGGAAATACGGGTAACAAACCATGATAACAGTAACGTTAGGACTCACTCTGCAATAACAAAAGCGAAGACAAAGAAGGCGGGACATAAAGTAGCGGCTTTATATTTGTGAACAAAGGTATATTTGGCATTTTTCTGTGTTAGAGCGAGAAAAACTCTGACCTTCGTATAATATTATAGAGTAGTTGATAAGTGACTAAATTTGAGGTCCCCCCATGAAGTTGAAAACCCTGATAAAATGGCCCTCCCTTCCAACCTCCCTCCCTACCTCCCACCCTATTCCCTCCCTACCTCCCTCCCTATCGTCCTCCCTTTCCCCCCTCTCCCCTGTAATTGCTCCTGGTAAGGATTGGAGTGTGATGAAGGTTCTGGAGTGGTGAGGGCTAGGACGTGGTGCTATATCTGGTGAATTCTAGGTGTGTTGAGTGCTAGGGCATTGTGAAGGCTAGGGTGTTATGAAGGCTTGGGTGTTGTGAAGGCTAGGGTGTTATGAAGGCTAGGGCATTGTGAAGGCTAGGGTGTTATGAAGGCTTGAGTGTTGTGAAGGCTAGGTTGTTGTGAAGGCTAGGGTGTTATGAAGGCTAGGGTGTTGTGAAGGCTAGGGTGTTGTGAAGGCTAGGGTGTTGTGAAGGCTAGGGTGTTATGAAGGCTTGGGTGTTGTGAAGGCTAGGGTGTTATGAAGGCTAGGGCATTGTGAAGGCTAGGGTGTTATGAAGCCTTGAGTGTTGTGAAGGCTAGGGTGTTGTGAAGGCTAGGGTGTTATGAAGGCATTTAGGTGGTGTTGTGAAGGCTAGGGTGTTGTGAAGGCTAGGGTGTTGTGAAGGCTAGGGTGTTGTGAAGGCTTAGGGTGTTGTGAAGGCTAGGGTGTTGTGAGGGCTAGGGTGTTGTGAAGGCTAGGGTGTTGTGAAGGCTAGGTGTTATGAAGGCTAGGGTGTTGTGAAGGCTAGGGTGTTGTGAAGGTTAGGGTGTTATGAAGGCTAGGGTGTTGTGAAGGCCAGGGTGTTGCGAAGGCTAGGGTGTTGTGAAGGCTAGGGTGTTGTGAAGGCTAGGGTTGTGAGGGCTAGGGTGTTGTGAAGGCTAGGGTGTTGTGAAGGCTAGGGTGTTGTGAAGGCTAGGGTGTTGAGAGGGCTAGGGTGTTGTGAAGGCTAGGTGTTGTGAAGGCTAGGGTATTGTGAAGGCTAGGTGTTATGAAGGCTAGGGGTTGTGAGGGCTAGGGTGTTGTGAAGGCTAGGGTGTTGTGAAGGCTAGGGTGTTGTGAAGGCTAGGGTGTTGTGAAGGCTAGGGTGTTGTGAGGGCTAGGGTGTTGTGAAGGCTAGGGTGTTGTGAAGGCTAGGGTGTTATGAAGGCTAGGGTGTTGTGAAGGCTAGGGTGTTGTGAAGGTTAGGGTGTTATGAAGGCTAGGGTGTTGTGAGGGCTAGGGTGTTGTGAAGGCTAGGGTGTTGTGAAGGCTAGGGTGTTGTGAAGGCTAGGGTGTTGAGAGGGCTAGGGTGTTGTGAAGGCTAGGGTGTTGTGAAGGCTAGGGTATTGTGAAGGCTAGGGTGTTATGAAGGCTAGGGTGTTGTGAGGGCTATGGTGTTGTGAAGGCTAGGGTGTTGTGAAGGCTAGGGTGTTGTGAAGGCTAGGGTGTTATGAAGGCTAGGGTGTTGTGAGGGCTAGGGTGTTGTGAAGGCTTGGGTGTTGTGAGGGTTAGGGCGTTGTGAAGGCTAGATTGTTGTGAAGGCTAGGGTGTTGTGAAGGCTAGGGTGTTTGTGAGGGCTAGGGTGTTGTAAAGGCTAGGGTGTTGTGAAGGCTAGGGTATTGTGAAAGCTAGGGTGTTGTGAGGGCAAGGGTGCTGTGAAGGCAAGGGTGTTGTGAAGGCTAGGGTGTTGTGAAGGCTAGGGTGCTGTGATGGCTAGGGTGTTGTGAAGGCTAGGGTGTTGTGAGGGCTAGGGTGTTGTGAAGGCTAGGGTGTTGTGAAGGCTAGGGTATTGTGAAGGCTAGGGTGTTGTGAGGGCTAGGGTGTTGTGAAGGCTAGGGTGTTGTGAAGGCTAGGGTGTTTTGAAGGCTAGGGTATTGTGAAGGCTAGGGTGTTGTGAAGGCTAGGGTGTTGTGAAGGCTAGGATGTTGCGAAGGCTAGGGTGTTCTGAAGGCTAGGGTGTTCTGAAGGCTAGGGTGTTGTGAAGGCTAGGGTGTTGTGAAGGTTAGGGTGTTGTGAGGGCTAGGGTGTTGTGAAGGCTAGGGTGTTGTGAAGGCTAATGTGTTGTGAAGGCTAGGGTGTTGTGAAGGCTAGGGTGTTGTGAAGGCTAGGGTGTTGTGAAGGCTAGGGTGTGGTGAGTGCTAGGGTATTGTGAAGGCTAGGGTGTTGTGAAGGCTAGGGAGTTGTGGAGGCTAGGGTGTTGCGAAGGCTAGGGTGTTGTGAAGGCTAGGGTGTTGTGAAGGCTAGGGTGTTGTGAAGGCTAGGGTGTTGTGAAGGCTAGGATGTTGTGAAGGCTAGGGTGTTGTAAACGCTAGGTGTTGTGAAGGCTAGGGTGTTGTGAAGGCTAGGGTGTTGTGAGGGCTAGGGTGTTGTGAAGGTTAGGGTGTTGTGAAGGCTAGGGTGTTGTGAAGGCTAGGGTGTTGTGAAGGCTAGGGTATTGTGAAGGCTAGGGTGTTGTGAAGGCTAGGGTGTTGTGAAGGCTAGGGTGTTGTGAGGGCTAGGGTGTTGTAAAGGCTAGGGTGTTGTGAAGGCTAGGGTATTGTGAAGGGTAGGGTGTTGTGAGGGCTATGGTGTTGTGAAGGCTAGGGTGTTGTGAGGGCTAGGGTGTTGTGAAGGCTAGGGTGTTGTGAAGGCTAGGGTATTGTGAAAGCTAGGGTGTTGTGAGGGCTAGGGTGTTGTGAAGGCAGGGTGTGTGAGGGCTAGGGTGTTTGAGGGCTAGGGTGTTGTGAAGGCTAGGGTGTTTTGAAGGCTAGGGTGTTGTGAAGGCTAGGGTGTTGTGAAGGCTAGGTGTTGTGAAGGCTAGGGTGTTCGAAGACTAGGGTGTTCTGAAGGCTAGAGCGTTGTGAATGCTAGGGTGTTGTGAAGGCTAGGGTTTTGTGAAGGTTAGGGTGTTGTGAAGGCTAGGATGTTGTGAAGGATAGGGTGTTGTGAAGGCTAGGGTGTTTTGAAGGCTAGGGTGTTGTGAAGGCTAGGGTGTTGTGAAGGCTAGGTATTGTGAAGGCTAGGGTGTTGTGAAGGCTAGGGTGTTGTTTAAGGCTAGGATGTTGCGAAGGCTAGGGTGTTCTGAAGGCTAGGGTGTTGTGAAGGCTAGGGTGTTGTGAAGGCTAGGGTGTTGTGAAGGTTAGGGTGTTGTGAAAGGGGTAGGGTGTTGTGAAGGCTAGGGTGTTGTGAAGGCTAATGTGTTGTGAAGGCTAGGGTGTTGTGAAGGCTAGGGTGTTGCGAAGGCTAGGGTGTTGTGAAGGCTAGGGTGTGGTGAGTGCTAGGGTATTGTGAAGGCTAGGGTG